CTACACGATTCGGTATCACCTCCTTCACAAGCCCTCCTTCTCCTTCCAATTCGTCATCTTTCCGCAGTTCGAACGCGCCCTTTGACGAATCCTCCAGGAAGAGATCATCGGCGAGCGATTTCTCGGAAGATTTCGAGTTCGATTTCAGTGGCCAGTTGGAGAAAGGATCATTTTCCGCCGCTGACGAGCTCTTCCATGGCGGAAAGATCCGTCCTTTACGCCCACCTCCTGGCTATGAACATGAACACGCCTCTGAGATTTCGTCTCCGAGATCTAAGGATCTGAAAAAAGATGGGTTTGATCTGTTTCAGAAGGAAGTGGAGTCGTCTAACCAGAAACAACGAGGGAGAGATCGGTCACAGGGTCTGTCCTCTTCAGGTTTTGTTCACAAGGGAAGCCGCTCTTTATCTCCTTTGAGGGTTTCAGACATAATGCTCGAGGAAGAAGACGAGAACTCTTCATTACAGCCTACGAGATTCGTCTCTTGCGCCGCAAGCAACCGAAAAACCTCCGTCTCCTCCGCGATTTTCTCGGCCTTTTCGTTCCCGGGAAGAGCCTACAAGAAGTGGAAACTCAAGGACCTGTTGCTTTTCAGAAGCGCATCCGAGGGAAGACCAGTTCCTACCAAAGATTCCTTAAACAGATACGAGATTCTGTCGAAGAAAGAGGTCGAAGAAGAGGCGAAAAACTCGAGTTTCCGGTCGACGGAAAGCGCCGGTTCCTCGGCCTCCAGGTCATCATGGTCGAGGCCGAGGTCACAGCCAGCGGTGTCGGCTCACGAGCTGCATTACACGGCGAACAGGGCAGTGTCGGAGGAGATGAAGAGGAAGACTTTCTTGCCTTACAAGCAAGGTTGGTTAGGGTGCTTAGGGTTCAACCCTGGTGTTCATAACATTTCCAGAGTCGGGTCTTTGACACGTGGAGGTTCTTGATTTCTTCTGAAATTTCATCACTTTGTATTTATTTTTGTTTTTCTTGTCTAATTTTTAAATGGTTCAAACATTTGTTGGGTTATTATTTTTTTTTGGTCCATCACATTGATGGATAATGCCATATTTGTTTAAAGATTCATACATAAAGATATAAAAAATAAACAGAGGAATTCTCAAATTAGTGTAATATTGGTTCTTCTTTTAGAGGAAATTTTATAAATGTGTGTTCTTCAAGACAACCAAAATATTTTTTCCTGTTAAACTTTTGGAAAATGGTTATTTATTCTTGAAAAAAATATAATTTGGTTATTTATTATTAGAGTCAGCATTGTTGCTTCGAGTTTTGAATTTTAAAAAAAAGCAAAATTGGATCGAAATGGCAATTAAATTCAATATATAAAAATAATCTTGAATTTTTTTATATCGCATTATCGAATTTTAGTTTGAATCCAAATACCAGCATAATAGGAAAAGGCTGAGTAAAAATAAATTTTATAAAAATATTTTTTAATTAAAGAAAAATATAAACCGAATTTTGATTTTATATATATATATATATATATATGTGTATGTGAGTGTGTGTGTATATATATATATATATATATTCTAAAAATTAATTAAAAAATGGTATAGAGAGTATGTTAGAGTTTGAACTAAGGTTTTTAGATAATAACTGGAAATAGTATTTACAAAAAAAAAAAAAGGAAAATCGTAATCATGCTAATCAATCAATTAATAAAAGTAAAGTAGCCCTAGAAAAGCACGTTCGTATGGTCCGATTCTTTTATCTTTATTTTACACCGCGAATAATACGTCTTTGTATCCACAAATTTATACAATATGATGGACAAGCAATGATTTTTTTTTTCCAAAACAGATGGCTGATTAAACCCTAATACTTCACTTCAAGAAGAAATTCAGATTCATTATTACTAATTCAACTTAGAGGAGACATACAATTGACATATATATATATATAGAGAGAGATATAGATATATATTTGTGGATATAAATGATGATTATATATTTTTTATTTTTATTTTGACAGTTTTTCCGATTTCAATGTATTTTTTTAAAGATATATAAAAATGTCATCTGAATGCAAAAAAAAAGTCACAAAAATATTATAGTGAAATAAAATGTTGGATAATCAAGCAACAAAGAGGCGAGTAAGCCGAAAGGGGGAAGAAAAAGGCACATGGGGTATTTGAGTGAAAATGGAAAAATAAAGAGGAAAAGGGATTATATCCCTTAATCATGAGGTTTTGTGGAATAATTAACGGTAATGATGCTCCTAACAGTGTGAAAGTTGCTTTATATTTCTTAAAACAAATGAAAAAAAAAGAGATGATGAAAATTAGTTAAGCTAATTAAGGTTTATTAAATAACTAATACAACCTAAGATGAGTTAATACTCTTTTGCCTCTATAGGTTGCAATGATTAACTCTTTCTTTATTTCAATTTTTTTTTTCTCTTTGTGTACTTGAAAAGTAGAAGAGGGCCGAAAGATATATAGATTTCTGTTTTTTTTTTTATTTGGTTATTCTAAAATTTGAAATTTTTAGATTTAAAAAAAAATCTAAATCTATTCAGTTTTTATATGAACTTTTTATTCCATTTAAATCCGATTTCACTTCATTTTATTAAACATTGTTTATCAATTTTTTAATATTTTTGTATTAAATTTAGATTTATTTAATAGGATTTAATCTTAATTATAATAAATCAATGTTAGATCGACGATGCGATTGGATATTATTTGTTCCTATTTCATTCCATTTCATATAACTAGATTCGATTCGATCTGATTTATATATTTAAATTGAAATATACTCAATGACACTATAAATTTTACCAAGTGAAAAAAATGTGTATATAAAAATGGATGATTCTCGAGAAAAATTAAAAAAGGATTAATAAATTATCTAGAAAGAAAAAAAAAATCAAAGGTTGGTGATGAGCCTTTTTGGTTTATGATTAGCGATGAGATCGGGATTCTATTCATTTTTTAATTATAATCTTCTTGTTAGATAATTAAATAGGAAACCCTTTATAACACCAAAGTATAGAAATTTTTTTAAAAATATAAAATTATTACCACAACTCTATATCTTATGAATTATTATCATCCATTATTAGCTGCTATACTTCTTATCTATTGATATATTACTATACTTCTTATATATTATTATAATATAGATAAGTTAGAATAAAATAATAACCCAGAACAGATTTCACTGGTTGAACAAGCGATCAATGGGTTAATATCAATTATGCAAAGTCATAATGTCTAATTTCACCTATTAAAAAAAATTTAACTATAGCATGGTATATAAATACTACTTTTTGTGGTTTTAAATTTATTTAGATCACATTAATACACCAACTATTATAAGATAGTATAAAATACATTATTTGATACATATGATTTTCCAAATAATGATTATTAAATATAATCTTAAAACATTTCTAATATGATGGTCTATTATAATATAGACTCTTCCTTTGTGGGAGTACAAAATGTTTCTGGTATAATACTAATGTAAAATTTATCGCTTCTTTTTGTTTTTTTATCCTCAATGTTTTAATCTCTTTATCATTTAAAAATGATAATAAATATACATACTAATATCATAAAAATTCGAATATTTTGTATACTCAAATTGAAATTTAGATGGGATAAGCAAAAGATTTGAAATTAAATGTTTCCTTCCATTTTATCTATTATTTTTACTAAATGTTTCCACACACAAAAAAAAAGCAAGCATCATTTTGGCACTGCACAATGTTCATTGTTCACATCTTGGATGACAAAGATAACCGGGTAATGTAAAACATGTCACGTCTCTCGATCGACGTACATGGCCCCACCCAAAAGGAAAGGGAACCGAACCCGGTTTAGTTAGGCCGGTTTGGATCGGTTAGAACCGGTTAAGTACCATGGTACTTGTGGGGCTGTGGCCATTTATATCTCAAGAGTACGTACATTAAGAGAGAGAGAGAGTCTCCGTGTCTCAGTCAATTCCACGTCATCAAGTAGAAGACAAAACAGTACTCTCTGTTTCAATTCATTGTTTTGTCCAACGCCCCCAACTGTTTTTTGACCTTTCTCCAAACCAAAGACCAATTCCTATAAATTTGGTCTTTGTTCTCTAGAACGCCATAGTTTGTTAATCATACAATTAAGTCTCATCTTTTGGTTTGATTACCCAAAATTAAATCGAATCAAATTGAATAATTTATAATCATATACACAATAAATTGATCTAAAATTCAATCAGATATATATTATTTTAAAATTAAATTAAATCATTTAAATTTTTAGTCCGAGGTCTTAAACCCACCAACTCAAACTTGCCCGAAAATATTCGGGTTTGAGTTTGGATTTTTGAGTCAAACTCAAATAGGGTTTCGGATTTGGCCGGGTTAAATCCGATGGGTTAAAACTCAGATTTAGAAACATGTGGCCAAATAATTCAAATGAAAAATAAAAAGAAAAAATCTTAAACCAACGTGTCGGTCCGGATCGATCCAACCCGAACCTGAACTTGATTCTTACAGGGGATTCAAATTTGGTTTTGTAGATCCGAAAAAATTCAGGTCGATGTGAGCCCAAAACCTAACACTTTCGGATCAAGTGCGAGCTCGGACAGGATCGATCCTTTTACACCCTAACGAATCAGAAATATATATAACCGAAAAATCAAATAATTGAGATTTTTGTTATCCAAACCATTCTTTTCCTAATAAAACAATATTAGAATTGAATCCTGAGAACGCGGGCTCGAATCAGCGGGTTCCAGCCCAAGCCCGAGCCCGAGCCCGAGCCACAGTCTGAATCCCGAGAGAGGTTGCAAATGGGCTATTTGGGAATGCCAATTTGTACGGACGTTCCCTGATGGGCTCATTAGAAATGCCAATAAGGAGAAAGGGCCTTGTTCGAAAAACTGCACCCTAAAGATTCCACAGAGAACGTATAACAATTTTTTCCTGCATCATCAGGAAGTGAAACTGGAAAAAGCTTCAAAAGGCTTTAAAAAACATTTTTTTTTGTAAGCTTTTCTCATCTTTAGTTAAGAGTACATTATCCGGGGTCTAAGCAAAAATCCTGTATTGAAAGCAAAAAAAAAAAAAACACAGAATCTAACGCAAAATCAGCAACTCAATGCCGGTTTTAATGCATCTGAAGATGTAATGTTATGTTATGACTAACCGATCTTAGAGAAACATTTTGCGGTACCGCCTTTTCTCCTCGTCACGTCGATCAGCAATCTGCGCAAATCGGTAATCACGTTAAAAATAGCCCGAGGGTTTTATTACAGACCTCGGACCAAAGGATTGCGATCTCGGGGTTTTGGTTTATTCAGTGTACCTTTTTCATAGCAGCAGCATGCTCTTTCTTTATACCAGCTGAAATGTTAAAAACACACGCGCGGGCAATTAGGATTTACCAGTCAACATCTCGACAAAATATACTCGAAAACCAGTACTATTACTATACTGACCGTCGTTAGGCTCCAATTGAAGAGCTTTCTTGAAGCTCTCGGCCGCAGCATCAACGTCATGGAGAGCCATATATGCCTAAATATTATTACCGAGACGATTAAATTTACTTCATTTCTAAGGGAACTGAGTTCAGATACGAAATCAGACTCGGGTCACCGAGTTTGAGCTTCCGGTACCTGTCCTTGACGAAACAAGGCTTTGACATTGTTATCTCCTTCACGGATGGCAAAGTCAGTTTCCAATAACGCCCCCTTCGGATCACCAAGTTTGAGCTTACAGGCCTGCCTCAGACGCATCAGGATTGTTAAATTAAAAAAAAGCAACAAGGTAAGACAAAACTCATTAATGCCGTGATCATATTGTGGACTGATGTTATACAATGCAATACATATATGAGATTTAATTTAATGAGGCGGCATATGAACCAAAGATAAACTCAGGAAACAATTCGAGGCCTTGAATATGTCGAGTACAATCATGCAAACAAAAAGTCTCTATCAACGACAAGGATAGTGCATTTTCACGAGGATTGAACTGATACAAACACAAAATCCAACCAAAAGGGTCAAAAGAGAGTCCAAAGATATGGTAGGTAGAAGCACATATTTGCAATTAACTCACACCAGAAGATATGGACACGAACTTACAGCACTATTCGTGAAGATCTGCGACTTTGTCTTCCGCAAAGCAGTACTCGTCTCTGAAGGGCCAAATGAGGAAAG